AACCTCATCTCTACTAAAAAAAAAAATTAGCTGGGCATGATGACTCATGCCTGTAATCCCAGCTACTTGAGAGGCTGAGGCAAGAGAATTGCTTAAACCCCGGAGGCAGAGGTTGCAGTGAACGGAGATCACACCATTGCATTCCATCCTGGGAAACAAGAGGGGAACTCCATCTCAAGGAAAAAAAAAAAAAACAACAACAAAATAATGGAACATTAATTAAGTAGACATTTAATGAGAGCTTTGGATGTGCCAGACATTTTTGGTAAATCCAAGAAATATATAAATGAAAAAGCACAGGTTTCTGTCTTTAAGAAGGCTACAAGCCATTTTTTTTTTTTTGAGACAGGGTCTCACTCTGTTGCCCAGGCTGGAGCGCAATGGCGAGATCTCAGCTCACTGCAACTTCCACCTCCCAGGTTTAAGCAACTCACAAGTAGCCGGGATTATAGACGTGCACCACCATGCACAGCTAATTTTTATATTTTTAGTAAAGATGGGGTTTCGCCATGTTGGCAGGCTGGTCTTGAACTCTTGGCCTCAAGTGATTCATCCGCCTCCACCTCCTAAAGTGCTGAGATTACAGGTGTGAGGCACCACGCCCAGCTGCTACTCTTTTTTTTTTTTTTTCTGAGACAGGGTCTCACTGCTGGGGTGCAATGGCACAATCTCAGCTCACTGCAACCTCCGCCTCCTGGGTTCAAGTGATTCTCCTGCCTCAACCTCCTGAGGAGCTAGAACTATAGGCATGTGCTACCATGCCAGGCTACTTTTTGTATTTTTAATGGAGACAGGGTTTCACCCTTTGGCCAGGCTGGTCTGGAACTTCTGACCTCGTGATCTGCCCACCTCGGCCTCCCAAAAGTGCTGGAATTACAGGTGTGAGCTGCCACGTCCAGCCACAAAATAGCGACTTTTCTAAAAACAACATTCTTGCTTTTGTGTTATCTACACTTTAAGAATAGGGAAACTAACTGAGCCTTTTGGAAATTTGTTTTACCATTAAGTAACAGCTATCTTTTGCTATCTTTCAATAATGTAAACATCTTGCCAGGCGCGGTGGCTCACGCCTATAATCCCAGCACTTTGGGAGGTCGAGGCAGGTAAATCACGAGGTCAAGAGACGAGACCATCCTGGTCAACAAGGTGAAACCTCGTCTCTACTAAAAATACAAAAATTAGCTGGGCATGGTGGTGTGTGCCTGTAATCCCAGCTACTCGGGAGGCTGAGGCAGGAGAATTGCTTGAACCCAAGAGGCGGAGGTTGCGGTGAGCCAAGATCGTGCCATTGCACTCCAGCCTGGGTAACAAGAGCGAAACTCCGTCTCAAAAAAAAAAAAAATAATAATAATAATAATGAAACATCTCAACAACCATGGCCAGAAGACCCATCTAAATGTACCAAAACAAATCATACAGAAAAAGATTTACAGGGAGAAGTCGGAAAAAAAAAAAGTGTGAAGGTATATGTTAGACATTCCTTTTCCCAAATTCAACGTTCCATCTCACTAGCTAACTCACTACAGGGTCTGGATGTTACCTATAAGATGCTCATTTTAGGCCGGGCACAGTGGCTCATGCCTGTAATCCCAGCACTTTAGAAGACTGAGGCAGGTGGATCACCTGAAGGTAGGCGGATAACCTGAGGTCAGGAGTTTGAGACCAGCCTGACCCACATGGAGAAACCCTGTCTCTACTAAAAATACAGAATTAGCTGGGCGTGGTGGTGCATGCCTGTAATCCCAGCTACTTTGGCAGGAGAAATGCTTGAACCCAGAAGGCAGAGGTTTGGGTGAGCCGAGATCTTGCCATTACACTCCAGCCTGGGGAACAAGAACGAAACTCCATCACAAAAAAAAAAAAAAAAAAAAAAAAAAAGGACATTCATTTTGTATTTCCAAGATAGGGGCAGAGAAGGGTCATTAGACATCACATACCTCTCACAGACATGCCACCAGAAGGTCTGAAATAGGAGAGTTGGGAATGAGGAGAAAATAGAGAAAAATGAAATAGGATACTTTACAACCTGGTACTTGATTGTCTTTACTCTCAGCCTAAGTGACAATGTAGAGGAAGTAGCTCCAGCCCTAGGACATGACTGTTATGCACATAGAGTGAGGGGATGGGGCTGACTCCAGACCAGATTTTTTTTTGTTTTTGAGAGTTTTATTCTGTGGTCCAGACTGGAATGCAGTGGCATGATTCTGGCTCACTGTAGCGTCTGCTTCCCAGGTTCAAATGACTCTCCTCCCTCAGACTCTCAAGTAGCTGGGATTACAAACTGCACCATTCCCTGCTAATTTTGTATTTTTAGTAGAGACAGGGTTTCACCCTATTGGCCAGGCTGGTCTTGAACTCCTGACCTCAGGTGATCCAGCCACCTTGGCCTGCTCAAGTGCTGGGATTAACAGGCGTGAGCCACCATGCCGGCCCTAAGATCAGATCCTTTAAAAAGACAAACCATTCTGAGCCTGCAACTGCTTTTCATTTACACAGCTTCTGACCTCATTTTTGTCCTCACTAACTGTAGTCTTCTGCCATTTGGTCCTGTACACCTAGAACACTCTGCCTTGCTAAGGACTAGGTTCCCTTTCCTTTGCCCTCCCAGTCCTCAAGAACCTTACCAATACTTAAACCCAATCAGATTAGGATTGTCTTTTTTTTTTTTTTAAGCTACACTTGTTGAAATGGGAAGATAAGGATTTTAAATCGGAAAATGAACTACCATAAGTCCCTCCATGTCTAGTAAGACTAGTAAATAATCTATTATTAAAGAACACTGCACTAAAAAGATGTGCTTTAGGCTCCTCTGCTCCTCTCCACCATTCAGTAATTGCACAATCCAGTAAAGATAATTCTGATCTATTCTTACTTGTGAAATTAAACTACCACATTAAAGTCCTTAAGGCAGCCCATGCAATATCTTTCCTACATTTTTATATTTATTTATTTATTTATTTTGAGATGGAGTTTCGCTCTTGTTACCCAGGCTGGAGTGCAATGGCACAATCTTGGCTCACCGCAACCTCCGCCTCCCGGGTTCAGGCACTTCTCCTGCCTCAGCCTCCTGAGTAGCTGGGATTACAGGCACGTGCCACCATGCCCAGCTAAGTTTTTGTATTTTTAGTAGAGACGGGGTTTCACCATGTTGACCAGGATAGTCTTGATCTCTTGACCTCGTGATCCACCCGCCTCCGCCTCTTAAAGTGCTGGGATTACAGGCATGAGCCATGGCGCCCGGCCCCTACATTTTTATTTATTTATTTTTTTAGAGACATGGTCTCCTTATGCTACCTAGATTAGAGTGCAGTGCTTACTCACAGGCACAGCAGGAGTGCACTCACACTATAGTCTTGAACTCCTGGGCTCAAGCAATCCTCCTGCCTCAGCTTCTGGAGTAGCTGGGACTACAGGAGTCCCTGCCTTACAATTCTTTGATAATTCAACAAATGTTTGTTTCTCCAAACGTTACATGACGAGTGAGTCAAACCAGAAAGTCAAAATCCACACAACTGGTGAGAAGGAAAGGCTAAGAACTTTTTGCTTGAGAAATCAGTGGCAAAATATTACTAGGGCTGTTCTACATCTCTTAGCCTCGCATTCAAAACTTTTCAATAAAGTTCCTCAATCCCAGCTAGTTTGTTTCCATTTACGTCTTTTTCCTTATGCTGTATTTTTCCTCAAACATTGTAAGCTTTCCCATCTCTCTGTTTTTCAAGTTTTTAAGAAACGGGGTATTGCTATGTTAGCCAGGTTGGTCTTGAACTCTTGGCAACAAGCAATCCTCCCCTCTAGGCCTCTCAAAGTGCTAGGATTATAGGAGTGAGTCACCGCACCCAGCCAGCTTTCCCGTCTTTTGCCTGCTTCTCCAGGATCCCAATCTGAATTCACCTTTTCCTTTAGCTTTGCCCCACACCAATCACTCCTGCCGCTTTCTATTTATCATGCTATGTTCCCGCTTCCTAGCAACTGCACATCTTGATTTTCCCTTTGGGCTTTTCTTTAAGTTTTTGAAAGAGTTCAGGTTCCTCATAAAAGGAGTAATTACACTTGGGCAACATGACAAGACTCCCTCTGTACAGAAAATACAAAAATTGGCCAGCCGCGGTAGCTCACGCCTGTAATCCCAGCACTTTGGGAGGCCAAGGCGGGTGGATCACGAGGTCAAGAGATCGAGACCATCCTGGTCAACATGGTGAAACCCCGTCTCTACTAAAAATACAAAAAATTAGCTGGGCATGGTGGCGTGTGCCTGTAATCCCAGCTACTCAGGAGGCTGAGGCAGGAGAATTGCCTGAACCCAGGAGGCGGAGGTTGCAGTGAGCCGAGATCGCGCCATTGCACTCCAGCCTGGGTAACAACAGCGAAACTCCGTCTCAAAAAAAAAAAAAAGGAAGAAAATACAAAAATTAACTGCAGTGGTGGCAAGCGCTGGTAGACCGAACTACTCAGAAAACTGAGGTTAAAAAGCAGGGTTGGGGGGGGCCAGGCTGGTAGGGGGTGATTCTATTCAGTTAGGTTTGAGAAAGAACTTTTTTTTTTTTTTTTTTTTTTGAGACCGTCTCAGTCTGTCCTCAGGCTGGAGTGCAGTGGCGCGATCTCGGCTCACTGCAACTTCTGTCTCCAGGGTTCAAGCGATTCTCCTGCCTCAGCCTCCCGAGTAGCTGGAATTACAGGCGCGCGCCACCAAGCCTGTAAAAATTTTTGTATTTTTCGTAGAGACAGGGTTTCTCCACATTGGCCATGCTAGTCTCGAACTCCCAACCTCAGGTGATCCACTCGCCTCGGCCTCCCAAAGTGCTGGAATTACAGGCGTAAGCCACCGCGCCCGGCCAGAACTTCATTTTTAAGATAATAAACAAAGGGGCTGAGTCGTTTTAAGAGACGGCGAACACCTGAGCTGGCACTGCTTTGAGAACAATCAACGAAGGGGGAAAGGAGAGAAAAAGCACTGCACATCCCAGAGAGTCTAGGAATGATTCTAGGCCCTTAACAGTTACCTGTTTAGGGTCCTGTATGCGCTTTCCACGTTCCCTTCCTGTACCATCACAGTCCTTGCGATGAACTTCAGATGTCTTGCCATGACCTTGGATTTAAGTATTCACTCCAAAGCCTAAAGGATGATAGAGAAAGGGCGAGAAAAGTAGAAAGAAAAACGCAACATAATACCGCGCGGCTTAGTTAGGATCTGTAAATGCAACGTGCTCAGGGACGTGCGAGATGGAGCACACGGAAGTCAACCGAGAAAGTAGACGCGAATAGTTATCTCTCATTCTCACGGCCAATCTAAACCCTTGTCTAGGGAAGAAAAGAGATGGTAGCGGGGCGTTACCACAAAGACGCATCGCCGGGCAAGGGAAGGACAGGAGCGACAAGGAGACGCCACTGGGTCCCAACAACCGCACACAGCTCCAACAGGGCTTGGGTTAGGAGCTGGGCAAGGATTCTTTGTTGGTCTTTGGAAAAAGGAGCAAAAGCCCGCCTTCATTTCTCTAAACGACGCACAACTCCTCACCTGGAGCGCTCAGTACCTAACCGACCCGAGGGCTTCTCGCTACCGGAAGCGGAAACTACGGTATCTAGCGCCGCGCAAAGAGGCTGACGTAGAAAACGTGCGTGGAAACCATGGCAACGTCCTTTGTGGCCTCACTTGACAGCCTCTTGTCCCGGGGCTGGACTCTACACCTCACAAAGCAGAATACCCATTGACTTAAATTCCCCCGAAACAGATTTCTCGCCCTCTCATGGAGTCAAAGTCCTTGGGCCTCTGAAAAGGTCAGCCCAATTTCATACTCCTTAATCCTCTGAAACCCTTGATAAATATTTGAGCTATTTCTCTCTCTAGATGGAAAATGAAAGAAGTAGGCGCTTCCTGAGGATGCTTGTTTTCTCTTCGGAAAGGACAGACTCTAGATGTGCTCTACGGACGAAAAACAGATTCATACCCATCATCCGCCCAATTGCTAAGAAAAAGAAACGAAACGAACATACTGTGAGTTTGCTGTATCATCTTCCCACTCATTTAACTACATAAAGTTAAATCACTAAATAAAGATACAGGAAACACCTGCAGGGTTTAGAATAAAAAATTTTGTCAGCTTCTATGCCTTTTGCGTGCTAGCGAGACTTACTGGAAATATCTCCTTTTAAATTTCTTCTTCACTGTGGGGACACTCGTTCTCTTATTTGTATGCTACCTGTACATATCCATTTATGGCTATTCACATAAGTTCGGCTGTAATGGCTGTGGGAAAATGAAACTCCTTTAGAGAGAACACACACAGGTGCATCCTCATCAGTTATGTTAGTAACTCACACAAAAACTTAAGCCCACCTCAGAGTAAACCAGGTCCAAAGTAACAAAATAGAACTAGATTGGGACATTATTATACTTGTCAGCAAACTTTCACTGAATGCCTACTATGTGTCAGATAATTGTTGATACCATTCTAGCGCCTTCTGGACCACTAGGAGACATTATATAGACATAAAAGATAAATACCAAAACAAAATAGTATATAAAAAATACAAAGTAGGGGCCGGGCGCGGTGGCTCAAGCCTGTAATCCCAGCACTTTGGGAGGCCGAGGCGGGTGGATCACAAGGTCAAGATATCGAGACCATCCTGGTCAACATGGTGAAACCCCGTCTCTACTAAAAATACAAAAAATTAGCTGGGCATGGTGGTGCGTGCCTGTAATCCCAGCTACTCAGGAGGCTGAGGCAGGAGAATTGCCTGAACCCAGGAGGCGGAGGTTGCAGTGAGCCGAGATCGCGCCATTGCACTCCAGCCTGGGTAACAAGAGTGAAACTCCCTCTCAAAAAAAAAATTATAATAAATACAAAATAAATTATGTGGGTCAGGTGCAGTGGCTCACACCTGTAATCCCAGCACTTTGGGAGGCCAAAGCAGGTAGATCACTTGATCCCAGGAGTTTGAGAACAGGCAATATAGCAAAACTCTATCTCTACAAAAAATAAAGAAATTAGCCAGACGTGGTGGCATGGCCTATAGTCCCAGCTACTTGGGAGACTGAGGGGGAAAATTACCTGAGCATAGGAGGGCAAGACTGCGGCAAGCTGTGATTACACCACTGCACTCTGGCCTGAGCAATAGAGTGAGACCCTGTCTCAAAAAATAAAATAAAAATAAATAAATAGGGCCGGGCGCGGTGGCTCACGCCTCTAATCCCAGCACTTTGGGAGGCTGAGGCGGGTGGATTACGAGGTCAAGAGATCGAGACCATCCTGGTGAACATGGTGAAACCCCATCTCTACTAAAAATACAAAAATTAGCTGGGCATGGTGGCGCGCGCCTGTAGTCCCAGCTACTTGGGAGGCTGAGGCAGGAGAATTGCGTGAACCCAGGAGGCGGAGGTTGTCGTGAACCGGGATCGCACCGTTGCACTCCAGCCTGGGTAACAACAGCAAAACTCCGTCTCAAAATACGTAAATAAATAAATAGAGGGCTGGGCATAGTGACTCATGCCTGTAATCCTAGCACTTTGGAAGGCCAAGGTGGATGGATCACCTGAGGTCAGAAGTTCAAGACCAGCGTGGCCAACATGGAGAAACGCCTGTCTCTACTAAAAATACAAAAATTAGCCATGCATGGTGGCACATTCCTGTAATCCCAGCTACTTGGGAGGCTGAGGCAGGAGAATCACTTGAACCTAGGAGCAGAGATTGCAGTGAGCCAGTATCACACCATTGCTTTCCAGCCTGGGCAACAAGAGCAAAACTCTGTCTCAGAAAATAATAAATAAATAAATAAAATATGCCACCACATAATGTGGTGAAAGGCACTGGCTTCAAAGCTGGGAGAGCTGGCTTCTATCCCAATTCTAATACTCATCAGGCATATGACCTTGAAGAAGTCACTTAACACCAGGAGTCTGGAGACTACTGCCTACAGGTCAAACCCTGCTCCACCATTTTGTAAATAAGGCTATTGAACTACAATCATGCTTATTTGCCTGTGTGTTATGTTTGGCTGCTTTGGGCTACAATGGCCAACTTGGGTAGTTGCAATAGAGGCATAAAGCCTACAAACCCCAAAATATTTATTGTCTGGCCCTTGCCAACTCACTCTATTTCTTCATCTTTAAAGTGAGACTAATTGGCCGGGCGCGGTGGCTCACGCCTGTAATCCCAGCACTTTGGGAGGCCGAGGCGGGTGGATCACGAGGTCAAGAGATCGAGACCATCCTGGTCAACATGGTAAAACCCCGTCTCTACTAAAAATACAAAAACTTAGCTGGGCATGGTGGCGCGTGCCTGTAATCCCAGCTACTCAGGAGGCTGAGGCAGGAGAATTGCCTGAACCCAGGAGGTGGAGGTTGTGGTGAGCCGAGATCGCGCCATTGCACTCCAGCCTGGGTAACAAGAGTGAAACTCCATCTCAAAAAAAAAGAAAAAAAGAAAAAAAAAATGAGGATACTTTGAGATAAAAGAAGGGAGAAAGGAACATTTTTTAAAAGCCAGTCAAATTTAGGAGTGGAGGGTTGTATACTAACTTTAGTGACGCTGATGTTAGTAAGTTCTGTTAACCACTACCATTGCATCGGTAACATTTTTGAGAGCCTACTGTATATTAACCCCTGTACTAGGTGAGTGTTTTTTGTTTTTGTTTGTTTTTCCGGGCTAGAATGCCGTGGTACAATCACAGCTCACTGCAGCCTGGACCTCCTGGGCTTGGGTGATCCTTCTACCTCAGCCTCCCAAGTGGCTGGGATTACAGGCACATGCCACCACACCCAGCTAATTTTTTGTATTTTTAGTAGAGACGAATTTTTTGTATTTTTACTAGTTTCACCATGTTGCCCAGGCTGGTCTCCCAAAGTGCTGAGATTACCCCACCAGGCCCTAAATCCTGCACTAGGTGTTTTATGTACATGATTCCATTTAATGGAGTAAAGGGCCAAAGACTGAGTGTATATATCATGTTTAACAGAAAGAATGATAGAGATTGACTTGAGTTAGTCATTGAAAGGGGGCAGGGTTTAGATAACAGAAACTGGAAAGGTTGGGCAAGGGTGAACAGCACGAAGACCTTAAGGGCAAAAAGTTGTAGTGTTCAGGAGTTAAAAACAAACTGCAACAGAGGAATCGTGGGGGAGCACAAGGAAAAATAGAGACTGCGACTAAAGGTTTTGGACTTTCTTCTCAAAGCATTGGGGAGCCATTGACAAAGCTGAATAGGGAATGATACACAAATCACTGTTCTAGGAAAATTAACTTGGTTCTCAGTGAGAAGGATTAGAGGTAAGAGAGACTATTGGTACAGTGAAGTCTAGATCAGAGTGGTGGCAATGGAATGAACAGGAAGAAATGAATTTTAAGAGATATTCCAAATAAAGCATAAAAAAGATTTGGTGACCAGATGGCACCAAGTTTTAAGCCTAGTTATCCAGAAAAAAAAACCAACAAAAAACAACTATGGTACCTATGATACCACAGGTAGCACCTACAGAAGAGGAGACTGTAAAAAGTGGTACCTGGCTGGGCATGGTGGCTCATGCCTGTAATCCCAGCACTTTGGAAGCCAAGATGGGTGGATAACTTGAGGTCAGTAGTTTGAGACCAGCTTGGCCAACATAGTGAAACCTGCCTCTACTAAAAATACAAAAAATAGCTGGGCATGGTGGCAGGTGGGTATAATCCAGCTATTCAGGAGGCTGAGGCAGGAGAATCGTTTGAACCTGGGAGGCAGAGGTTGCAGTGAGCCAGGATTGTGTCATGGCACTCCAGCCCAGACATGGTGAGACTCTGTCTCAAAAAAAAAGAAGGGCCGGGCGCGGTGGCTCATGCCTGTAATCCCAGCACTTTGGGAGGCGGAGGCGGGCGGATCACGAGGTCAAGAGATCGAGACCATCCTTGACATGATGAAACCCCGTCTCTACTAAAAAAAAATACAAAAATTAGCCGGGTGTGGTGGTGTGCACCTGTAGTCCCAGCTACTCGGGAGGCTGAGGTGGAAGAATCACTTGAACCCAGGAGGCAGAGGTTGCAGTGAGCTGAGATTGCGCCACTGCACCCCAGCCTGGTGACAGAGCAAGACTCTGCCTCATTAAAAAAAAAAAAAGAAAGAAAAAAAGTGGTAGCAGAGGGACATGTTTACAGGAAAGAATAATTTGATTGGTGATTACCAGAAAACGCACCAGACTGGAAACCAAGTTCTGTTCCACACATTGTGTTGGCCTGGACAAGTCTGCTGTTCCACACATTGTGTTGGCCTGGACAAGTCTGCTGTTCCACACATTGTGTTGGCCTGGACAAGTCTGCTGTTCCACACATTGTGTTGGCCTGGACAAGTCTGCTGTTCCACACATTGTGTTGGCCTGGACAAGTCTGCTGAGTCTCTTTGTGTATCAAATGAGGAGGTTGAGTTGAACTGGATATACAAGAGACATTTTTTTTTGAGAGGGAGTCTCACTCTGTCACCCAGGTAGTGGTGAATCTTGGCTCACTGACACCTCTGCCTTCTGGGTTCAAGCGATTCTCATGCATCAGCCTCTTGAGTAGCTGGGATTACAGATTGCACCACCACACCTAGCTAATTTTTGTATTTTTAGTAGAGATGGGGTTTAACCATGTTGGCCAGGCTGGTCTTGAACTCCTGACCTCAAGCCATCCACCTGCCTCAGGCGTGGGATTACAGGCTTGAGCCACTGCACCAGCCAAGAGGCATATGTTGGCTCTAAAACACTGCAAGTTTCAATAATGTTTAAGTATCAGCCATATGTAAATAAAACTGTCCAACAGAAATGTAAACACTCAGTATGCCATCTCAGGGGAAAGGTTCGGATTAGAGATAAAGCTGTAGTAGTCTTCTAGGTTGAAGCAATCATTAAAGCCACGAAAGAATGTAATCAGAGAAAAGGGCCAAGGCCTGAGCCTGGGGAAACACCCACACGGGAGTAGGTTGAAGTGGGGCCCTTAGGAGGCCTAGACATTGCTGCCAGATAGATAAGCTGAGGATTAGGATAGTGTGCTGTCATGCGATCTGAGGGCGGAGAGTTTCAGTAGGTAGCATCAAGCGTCAAATGCTATGGAGACCATAATGCACACAGTAAAGGGCTTCGCTGTTGATTACGTAGAAGTTAGATTATAATACTAGTTCTGTGTGCTCATAAGGTGCAACAAAGTGAAAAAAAAAAAAAGCGGTAGCAGAGGGACATGTTTACAGGAAAGAATAATTTGATTGGTGATTACCGAAAAACGCACCAGACTGGAAACCAAGTTCTGTTCCACACATTGTGTTGGCCTGGAGAAGTCTGCTGAGTTTTTTTGTGTATCAAATGAGGAGTGAAAGCATCAGAAGCTAGGCTGCAAGGGGTTAAGGACTGAGTGGCAGAAAGGAACCAGAAAGCGTCGAATAGACTACATTGTCAAGAATTATGGAGAAAAAAAGAGGACAGGCCAGGCGTGGTAGCTCACGCCTCTGATCCCAGCACTTTGGGAGGCCCAGACAGGTGGATTATGAGGTCAAGAGATCGAGACCATCCTGGCCAACATGGTGAAACCCCATCTCTACTAAAAATACAAAAATTAGCTGGGCTTGGTGACGAGTGCCTGTAGTCCCAGCTACTCAGGAGGCTGAGGCAGGAGAATTGCTTGAACCCAGGAGGCGGAGATTGCAGTGAGCCGAGATTGCGCTGCTGCACTTCAGCCTGGCGCCTGGCGACCGAGCGAGACTCTGTCTCAAAAAAAAAAAAAAAAAAAAAAAACAACAAACTGGCAACCACAGTGGCTGTTTCGGCTTTTGTGTTCCTCCTCTGGCAGCAGAAACCTATATATGCGTTTACCACAGGCCTCAATAGTTTCCATCAAAGCCAAGAACTAACCCAGAGCAGAAGAATCTGCAAGTTTGGGCCAGCTGGAAGATTACAAAGGTGTAAAAACAAAAGTTACTAGTTTCTGAGCCTGAATGAAAACATAAACCTGGCTGGGTATGGTGGCTCAAGCCTGTAATCCCAGCACTTTGGGAGGCGGAGGTAGGCAGACCACTTAGGTTAGGCGTTCAAGACCAGTTTGGTCAACATGTAGTGAAACCCCATCTCTCCAAAAATACCAAAATTAGCCCGGCATGGTGGCATGTGCCTGTAACCCTAGCTACTCAGGAGGCTGTGGCCCGAGAATCACTTAAACCCCGGAGGCAGAGGTTGCAGTTGCAGTGAGCTGAGATTGCGTCACTGTGCTCCAGCTTGGGCAACACAGTGAGACTGCCCCGCCCCACCATAAACCCAACTCTGAACCCTGTGCTGTCTCAGGGATCTTCCCCAGACAAACAGCAGCAGAGTTCCCTTGTCCCACAAGGCTCATGTTGTCATCCAGACCCTAATTGGTAGAGCTCATGTTCACAAACACCCCCATTCCTTTTCTACTTTTCTGCAGCTCACAGGATAAGGATTGGTTTTGGAGGCAGATTTTTTTTTTTTTTAAAGAGACAGGGTCTCGCTATGTTGCCTAGGCTGAGGTGCAGTGGCTATTCACAAACGAGATCCCACTACTGATCAGCATGGGAGTTTCGACCAGCTCTGTTTCTGACCTGGGCTGGTTCACCCTTCCTTAGGCAACCTGGTGGTCCCCCGCTCCCAGGAGGTCACCATATTGATGCCGAACTTAGTGTGGACATCTGATCGGCATAGTGCAATACAGCCCAGAACTCCTGGGCTCAAGCGATCCTCCCACCTCAGCCTCCCAAGTAGCTGGGACTATAGGCATGCGCCACCATGCCCGGCGGAGGAAAATAGGTTTTCAATTTCCCCCAATCAGCAAACTGTTCAGGTATAAAAAAAGTCTTTAATCAGAAAGGATTTATCTTCCCTCAACACAAATGCACACATTAAAAGTAAAAATACATATATACATGAATATTTACACAAATGAGAGATCACAGTGGACAGCTACATGCTCTGGGCTAGGGGTTGAGAAGATGAACATTAGGAGCAACTGGAGGATGACTTCTCTGCTGTTCCCGTTGTCCTGTGGTCGTCTTTTTGGCCAAGGTGGGTAGACTGGGAGAGGACAGGGTATAGCTCCAGTCTGATGGCAGAGTTACTGGCAAACTATAGCAACGAGGCCCCTCTCCAGACAGTTTCATAGGATCACCAGGGATGACAGGAGATGCTGTAGCAGGTGGGACTGGAGTGGTTGGGGCAGAGTGGGTGAAGGATTGCACTCCATGCTGGAGGAAAAGAATGACACCAATGCCAGTTCCAGTGCCTAATGGACCATGGCTAAAGGAGACAGTACCTGGGGAGCCAAGAGGGGGGTTGCAAATTGGAGTGGTGTGGATCCAGGTGAGGTTCATAGCTGGCCATTCTGTAAGGTGCCAAGGCTGCTTTGGTTTGAAAGCCAGATGTCCTAGCTGTGTCTGGTCCATCTTTTCCACAGGATATACAGGAGAGGAAGCAGCTGAATCATTGTGATGGGCTGGAAAATGCTACGGAGGGGAGAAATGAGAAAAAAATGGAGAAAGCTTTCAGATTAGCTCCACCTGGTTACTTAAATCTTAATATTCCTTGGGAACTCAGGTTGCAATGCAAATATATCTCATTTTATGTAACAGATATGATCTTGCCAGGCCATGATTAAGTAAAAGTTTTAGTAACCAACTAAAACTTTCATTTACTCAAAGTAAACTTTCATTTACTCAAAAAATGAATGGCCTACTATGGACCACATACTAGAAACTGGATATCCAGAGATGCACTAAAAACAAACAGTCCCATAGGTTCTTACTATTTATAAAATAATTCCTTTTAGAATTTATTTAAAAAGAAGTCCATTTTTAATTGGAATCATTTCCCAAATTCTGCATTTAAATTATAATAGTCTATTAATAGTCTATGGTGAGTTCTTTAAGAAGTATAAATTAATACTCAGGCAAGATCCTGCTTTTTTAATTTTATGTTTGAGACAGGGTCTCACTCTGTCAACCAGGCTGGAGCGCAGTGACACAATCATGGCTTGCTGCAGCCTGACCTCCCAGGCTCCAGAGATCCTCCCACCTCAGCCTCCTGAGTAGCTGGGACTACAGGCACACACCACCATGCCCGGTTACTTTTTGTATTTTTTGTAGAGACCGGGTTTCACCATGTTGCCCAGGCTAGTCTCAAACTCCTGGGCTCAACCAATCCTCCTACCTTGGCCTCCCAAAGTGCTAGGATTACAGGCGTAAGCCACTGTGCCTGGCCTACTTATTTTTTAATAGATTATTCACAGCAATAATAACCATCGCTGATTGAAAATTAGGACTGGTGATTATCTACAGGAGACTCTCCTCCATCATTTGAATGCCCTTTACATACCCTATTGTTTGAGGGCAGAAAATAGGTCACTTCTATACCAGGTCTAAAACTATCAACACTGCTGATCTGGGCGTCTCCCTCCCCCACTTCCAGTGATGTAACTCTCATGACCAGTCCTTCAAAAAGGTTTTGGCACAAGGATACTTGGGCAGAAATGAAAAGAAGGAGAGGGGAAGGGTTTGGGGCAGTAGGGAGAAAAGAGTTTGCAGAGAGAAGCCGAGGCATCTTCCCGCATGACTCATTTGGCCAGGTAAAAAGCCTTTTGTATCTATGCAGAAAGCGGATAAGCTGTGGCATGAGGGATAGGATTAAACTTCATGGAGTTCTTCCCAGTGATCCAAACAAAACAGAACAACAACAAAAAACATGTAGCAATCAAAACAATGCAGAAAGTTTAGGAATTCCCTTCCCTGAAAAACTTAGAAAACATTCAGAAGAAAATGGCAAAAGGAGCCCATTTCTGCATGCACATTTCATTTCGTTGGCTACCTTCCCACCTCTTCCTCACGTTCTTAAGTTCTTACCTTGGTCAGCTGATGCTTGCCACCACCCAGTGATGACTTCTGGGCAGCTATATGAGGAAACCAAGTCTTTAACATCCCTTCTACCTGTAGCAACGTTCCTAGATAACGTTCCCTGTGAAAATGACATTGTTTTAAAAAAAACAACAACAGGATTGGAGAAATCTTTTTTAAGAAGACCCAAAGAAAGAACCAGGGGACTTACCCCATCTGTGGCTTCTGCAGAACACCTACAATACGCTGGATCCTGTCCATTGCCACACTCTGCTGAAAACTGCTTAATCCTGGGGACAGGGACAGAGAGAGATTAAGAACTGAGATTCAAGCATGTAGTCAGGTAAAGGAAGGACAGAAGGTGGTTTAAATAGATTGATCTAAAAACGTGAAGTCGGGCCAGGCGTGGTGGCTCACACCTGTAATCCCAGCACTTTGGGAAGCCAAGGCAGGTGGATCAGCTGAGGTTGGGAGTTCAAAAGACCAGCCTGGCCAACATGGCAAAACCCAGTCTCTACTAACAATAAAAATTAGCTGGGTGTGGTGGTAGGTGCCTGTAATCCCAGCGACTTGGGAGGATGAGGCAGAAGAATCACTTGAACCCAGGAGGCGAAAGTTGCAGTGAGCCAAGATCACGCCACTGCACTCTAGCCTGGGCAACAAGGGCAAAACGCCGTATCAAGAAAAAAAAAAAAAAAAAAAATTAAGGGCCAGGCGTAGTGGCTCAAGCCTGTAATCCCAGCACTTAGGGAGGCCGAGGCGGGTGGATCACTAGGTCAAGAGATTGAGACCATCCTGGTCAACATGGTGAAACCCCGTCTCTACTAAAAATACAAAAAAGTAGCTGGGCAAGGTGGCGCGTGCCTGTAATCCCAGCTACTCAGGAGGCTGAGGCAGGAAAATTGCCTGAACCCAGGAGGCGGAGGTTGCGGTGAGCCGAGATTGCGCCATTGCACTCCAGCCTGGGTAACAAGAGCGAAACTCCGTCTCAAAAAAAAAATTAAGTCATAGTAGCAAAAAAGGAGTAATACAGGACCCAAACAAGAACTTAAGAGAAATACATGTCAAAAGAAGGAAAGAGAAAGAGAAATGAACCTAGCCCAAATGAATGCAACTAGATTACCTCTCTCAAAACGACCCATCTTCAGCCCATTGAGAAGGTCTGTGAGAGGAGGTATAAATCCTTGGAGTTCTTTACACTGTAGGAAAACAGGACAGATACTATGAGAAGACTCAGAGCTGCACTCACCACCAGTGGCTCTACCTTCACCTCCAAATCTGGGAGTCAATACTGTCTTCACAGAATCCTGACCAACCAGCTGGGTGCTAAGCCACTCCAGAGAGTCTCCTTTCACCTGCTTTCTCTTACCTTCTGGGCAAACAGCAGGTCTCCCTCTGTGGTACGACCTTGGATGTTTAGACTGGTCTCCAATTCACCATCTCTTGATCTTTTCGCCCCAGATCCTGCCATAGGAGAAGCCGAGCCTCGCTGTTCCGGATGAGATGGTGTATGTTGGTTACTGGAAACCTTGGATCGATGCCTGCAGCGGATAGGACCTGGGCTGGGCCGTGAACCTCCCCTCTGCCCAACAGTGTCTGGCCTGGTTCCATGGGCCCCCTTGTCCTCCCTCTCACTATCAGAGGGGAAGCCAAAGTCACTGTTCACTGGGGAGGTGGGAAAAGACGAAGAGAGAGAGTAGGAGGAATAGGAAGAAACACTAGATGGAGAATCCATAGGTCCAGAAGCAGGGGCTGGAGAGCAGCTCCTGGAGTACTCAAAGATCGGAACCTGCAACTGAAGAGCAAAGCGAGGGAGTTTGAAACCGGAGTTTAGGTTAGGAAATGGACTGGGAGATCGGGGTGTACTGCGTGGGATAATACTTGTTCTCCCCCTCCCCAGTATTACCTGTCTCAGAGACAAAAGAAACATTTCCACCCCCACCCCCGCCCATTAAGAACCTGGGATTCCCTCTCTGGTCTCAGCAGAACAGCTCTCGGCCTGACGCGGCCTCAGTTCTTTTCTCCCTCAGTTCAGAGTAAATACCTGACTTGAAAGACACCCTCCCCTCCGCCCGTTGTTCGCCAGGGCTGTTCGCCAGCCTGAGTCCACAGCAAGCCTCTCCACCTGAGGCCATGCCACCCACCAGCGGTCAATCTGGGCACGCGAACCCACGGAGTGACACTACAGGAACCGCCCCCACAGAGACTGGCCTCCTGCCCTCTCCCAATCTTTCAAGATCAGGATCCCTGAGCTGGTCTCTCTGTGCTCGCGCCTGCCACGTGATGCAAACCCTTGCAATACCAAGATCTGCATTCAGCCCCCAAACCCACTCCCTCTGGGTCCAATCCACCCCAACAGCTTGCTTTTTCCTCCGAATCTCCTTACCTGTGTCACCCTGCTCAGCCCAGGCTCGGTCTCCAGCTCCTTCTCCGGCTCTCGGTGTCTGGCAACCCACCTCCTCCTCTCTCAGTGGGCCCCGCCCCTTCCCCCTCCCAGACACGTGCAGCCCGGCACGTGCCTCCCCCTGCGTACACAGATCTCGCTCCCTCATTGGTTGCATCGCCGGTAACACGTGACTCTCGTTACTGAAGTCCAAGGCCCATTTGCTACAGTACAAAGGGGCTCAGCCAATAGAGAGGCAGCCAGGTGATGATTGGCTGGAAGGGAAGCATTCCGTGCTCCGCCCCTACATGCGGCTCCCGGAGAGGACCCGGTGGTGAGAAAAGGAGGAGGATGGAAAAAAGAGTGGAAAAGAAGGGAGGGGAGGAAACGGGCGGAGCCGGTGGCCTTAAATAGGATGGTGATGCGCTGGAGACGCGCGGCTTGAGTGTTCCGAGGTTGGTTGCTGAGGTACTGAAGGCGTGCGTCTCCGGACGTGGGGACACCCCCCCCCCGCCCCCGGTTCCGTCTCAGGAACTAACTCATCTGCCCCCTCTTTGAGCCCCTCCGCTCACGAGCGCAGCACGTGGAAACTATCAGTGATTTGTGTCTGCAACGTGTATGAGAGAATGGAGGTGTGTGACGCGGTATATTCTCCCTCTCTCGGCGGCCCGGCCCTCGTGACTCTCCCGTCTCTGTTTCACCTCCCCCACCCTTTCTCCTCCAAGTTGGGTGCCTCCTGCCCTGCTGGGTGAGGAGGGTGGGGATTGCGGCCGAGAACACCGCGTCCTCTCTGGCTCCCGCTGGGGCGGCACCTCCAGCCCTTTTCTTACATAACCTACCACGCACGTTACCAGCTCAGATGCCAGCCCACCACGACGCTAGAGGTCAAAACGAAACTCAGTTTTTTCTGACTTTTTTTGTCCAGGCTTCTCCGGCCGGGCGTCCTGAATTACCTGATTCCAAGCACGGGAAACAGCGGGGTAGGTCCTTGATCTCCTAGGTTAAAGCTTTGTTCAGTTTCAGTGCCTTCATTTGTTCCCTGGAGAAGATTCCAAAGACTGAAGGAGGGGAGGGAGGCAAGTCCAGAGTTTAGAGAGTCTCAGAAGTAAATGGGACGTTACTATTGTGGTTGCGCCTTGCATTTTGAGAGTACACTGGAGAGGAGAGCAGGGCACGAGGGCGGTGAGCTGGTTGAAGATAGGATGTCGGAGAGACCGCAAGGGGGCAGCCCAATTCTGATTAGGGTCCAGAGGATAGAGAATTAAAACAAAATTTTTAAGTGAGTTTGTCCCTGCCGTAATTACCAACTACTGCAAAAGGCGCATTGTTGGACAAAGGTGTGGGTGGGGGTGGGTAGGTGTGAATATTTTAAATATATTGTAAGTAGTTTTTGATATTTTACAGTATGTTTTAGCAATGTGCTTATTATAAAAAGAAAAAAAGATGCTAAATAAACGGCAATCCTATTTCCCCAAGCACACTGTTTCAACACCACATTTAATCAAATAAAACAACAGAATTAGCAATATGGACTTCGAATAAACCTGCTGTCTGTGGGTGCCCTTTTCCAGTCTTCCCCAAACTGCAGGTTTATTCACAGTGCATAATGCCCTCTAATTCTATTGTCACCCAACTCCCCTTCCAGTCTACACTTGCTGTCTCTAAATCCTGGTGCTCTCTTGAGTTGTGACTTTAGAACATTCATGAAAGAGCAGACAGTAACCAGATTATTTCATTTATCATTTATTCTATCTTCCAATTTCCTATTGCCAAACTCCCACCCAGAGAGTCATAGCAGCCTTCTCCCACCTAAAAAAAAAAAAAAAAAAAAAAAAGTCAGGAGACAGGGAAACCTCTCCCACCTCCCACCTCTATGAAGACTCCCTAGATATTCTGAGCTGGGATTGCTCTGTGATAACTCCTGGGAAAGATGCGTTTGTACCCCTCTCCTCCATAGTCCTTTTACCTCCTGCTGAATCTCATTATGCTTGATGCTTATTTAGAATTCTGAATTTAAAACTTCTTTCCTTATAATACAGGTTTCTCTTCCCTTCTCTTCCCGCGCCTGCCCTACATATCAGAGAACCGCCACCCCTTCTGCCTCTGAACTTTGCCTCTTGACTTTACCGGGTTGTCAGACCCACCCATTTTACCCTCTGATACTCGCCATGACTTGAAACATGGCCAGGCTGGAACTAGCTTTGATTGTTCCAGACATTTTGGAAGCCTGGAGAGGTATTTCCCCCACCCCTTCATCTACCTGCCTCTGCTCTAGGAGATCCTGAAGTTCTCTTAGTTCAGAAAAATTAACTCATCACAAAAGTCTACCTCAGCATCTCCTAAACTTTTTAAAGACTGAATGAGAAGATTTTTCTAAATGTGATCCTTCTTCTTTCATCTTGTTATTTTTTTGAGACAGAGTCTCACTCTGTTGCCCAGTGACAGTAGTACAGTGGCCAGATCATGGCTCTCTGCAGCCTCCACTTCCCTGGGCTCAAGGGATCCTTCCACCCCATACTTCCCAGTAGCTGGGACTATAGGCATGTGCTACCATACCCAACTAATTTTTATTTTTAATTTTTTTAAATCTCCTGTAGAAGAGTTATTTATTTATTTTTAAATTTTTTTTGTAGAGACAAGGTCTCGCTATGTTGCTCAGCTTGATCTCAGACTATGTTGCTCAGCTTGGTCTGGAACTCCTGGGCTCAAGTGATCCTCTCACCTTAGCCTCCCAAAGTGCTGGGATTTCAGGGATTAGCCACCAAATCTGAATCTCTTCCTTCAGGGGCTGATAATTGACCAGGATGGAAACACTAGCCAGAGATACTGGTAAGACTTACTTTGGTTTAGTGTGGGAAGTTAAAAAAAAATTATTTCACAGACTCCCCCAAAGCCAGTGGCTGCACTCTTACCTTCTACATGAAATACATCCCCACCTGAACAAGGACACAAGACAGGAGGAGGGGAATAGGACTCTGCAAACTGGACACGGCATCGTTCAGATCTGGACTCTGCTAAAATACAGACATCCCCACACAGTAGGCTGGTATCATTCCTCCTACCACTTCTCTGTCCCCCTCCGAAAGGACTGCCACCTCTTTACAATAACCTCTGTCTCCCTTTCCTTTGGGCTTTAGAGAAAGATCCATCCCTCCCCATCACTGTAAGGAGTCCTTTCTTCTGTGTCTTTCAGCCATCCCTGACCATACCAGGGAGGCCAATTCAATTCAGTTATTTCTATTTTTTATCTATTATGTACATGATACTATGCTAGTCACTGTGCTAGGTGCTATAGGGAGGGACATAAACATGAATAAGACAAGATTCTTGTCCTCAAGGAATTTACAATCTAAAGGGAGTCTACTATATACTTTTTAAATTTATCTATTTATTTGTTTATTATCATTTTTTTTGAGACAAGAGTCTTGTTCTGTCGCCAGCAGTGGTGTGATCTCCGCTCGATTTTACCTCCACCTCTTGGGTTCAAGCAATTCTCCTGTCTTAGCCTCCTGAGTAGCTGGGATTACAGGTGCCCATCACCACACCTGGCTAATTTTTGTATTTTTAGCAGAGACGGGGTTTTGCCATGTTGGCCAGGCTGGTCTCAAACTCCTGACCTCAGGTGATCCGCCTGCCTCAGCTTCCCAAAGTGCTGGGATGACAGGTGTGAGCCACCATGCCCCGCGTACTATATGCTTTAAAAAAATGTACCTCCCCTTATTGTTGATCTTTCACTTTCGATTTTTACTGGCTTCTCTCATCTATGCTCAACTATGTGCTGGCTGCTCTTTGGTCCTATTCCCCTTTCCAGCTGTTGCTTCTCTTTTTCATTACCAGATTTTTTTTTTTTTTTTGAGACGGAGTCTTGCTTTGTCACGCAGGCTTGAGTGCAGTGGTGTGATCTCAGTTTACTGCAGCCTCTGCCTCCTGGGTTCGAGCGATTCTCCTGCCTCAGCCTCCTGAGTAGCTGCAGGCACCCACCACCACACCTGGCTAATTTTTTTGTATTTTTAGTAAGAGAGAGTTTCACCGTGTTAGCCACGATGGTCTCGATCTCCTTACCTCGTGATCCGCCTGCCTCGGCCTCCCAAAGTGCTGGGATTACAGGCGTGAGCCAACACGCCCGGGCTTTTTCATTACCAGAATTTTCTAGATGGTTGGTCTGTACTCACCTCCCTTTCCTCATAACATACTCCCTTTTTAACTCTACAAAAATCTAGCTTTTCTCCACGCACTCAATTAAAACTACCTTCTTGAGAGAACCAGTGACCTCCTTTTTCTTGGCCTCTTGGTAGCTTTTGCTGGATTATATTAAACTTTCTTTTCTAGACTCTGTAATACAAACTTGGCTATCTGCCTAATTCTCCAGTCAAATCCTTCTCCATTCCATTCATTCATTCCTCCTCCTCCCACTCACTACAGGCACAGTCACTGGCCTTCTGAGCTTGTGTGTGCTGGCTCTGTTGAGCTCATTTACTTTCGTAACTGTGACTCTGCACTTAGAACTCTAGCCCTGATCTAGTTCAGTGACCGTTAGGACACCCTCGTAGGATTGTCACCATAAACTCAGCTTGGCCACTACCAAATTAATAACTGATGTCCTAAACTACTCTGGCGTCCCATAGTTCCTATTTTGGTCAACCATTTTCCCAGATATCCATGTTTAAAACCTATGAGTTATTTAACTCTCTCATTTATACTTCATATAAAATTATCACTTAAGCAAGGTATTTTCTTCAAAATATTTCTATTTTTCTCCTCTCCATTCATAATGCCACTTCCAGAGTCCAGATTGTTTCTGGAACAATGCAAATCTCATGAATTGCTCTCCACTAAATTATTTACATCCTGCATACAACCTGATGAGTGGTTTTTCTTCTTTTCCTTTTTTTTTTGAGTTGGAGTTTTGCTCATTACCCAGACTGGAGTGCAATGGCGCGATCTCGGCTCACCGCAACCTCCACATCCTGGGTTCAGACAATTCTCCTGCCTCAGCCCCCCAAGTAGGTGGGATTACAGGCATGGGCCAGCACGTGCGGCTAATTTTGTATTTTTAGTAGAGCCAAGGTTTCTCCATGTTGGTCAGGCTGGTCTTGAACTCCCAACCCCTGGTGATCCGCCTGCCTCAGTCTCCTAAAGTACTGGGCTTATAGGCATGAGCCACCGCACTCGGCTGGTTTTTCTAAAATAACACTTGTCATCGTGTTTTTACCGTAAGGAAGCCCTTACTAGGCTCCTTATTCATTTATGAGTCCACACGTCAGCATGACACTTGAGACTCTCTGAAATTTGACTCTATGTTGCCACATGTGAAATTACCAAGCAAATATTAGGAGCCTTGTAAATTTTATATTTTCTTAATTACTACTGTTCCCTTCCATATACCCTCTCCTTCAGTCATACTCTATTCCTTAAACGTACTATGCTTTTTCTATTCCCCCTCCTGTGTAGGTCTTTCTACTCTTTTTTTTTTTTTTTTTAAGATGTGGAGTCTTGCTCTGTCGTCCAGGCTGAAGTGCAGTAATGTGATCTCAACTCACTGCAACCCCCACTTCCCAGGTTCAGGCGATTTTCGTGCCTCAGCCTCCTGAGTAGGTGGGGTTACAGGCACGTATCACCACAGTTCACTAACTTTAGTATTTTTAGTAGAGCTGGGCCAATGGTGATGTGCCAACAATCACCATGTTGGCCACTGAGGTAGTCTTGAACTGCTGACTTCAAGTGATCTGGCCACCTCAGCCTCCCAAAGTGCTGGGATTAAAGGCATGAGCCATTGTACCTGGCCTCTTTCACTCTTGGAATAACGATTCTTCCTCCTAATTGCTTTTATCCTTTCATAACTACCCACCAATCAGAAGCTCACCTTTTCTCCAGGGTGTATCTCAAGCACAAATGCCTCCTGAAAGCTTTTCATACAACTCTGTCCTGTACTAATCTCTCTCCTTACACTGGCTAAAGCACTGCCAATGTCTTCTGCTTTCAAATTTATATACAATTTAACATTGTAACATATCTTTCCATTTTGTTCTAAGTATTTTTCAAATGTAATTTTATAAATTCCTTGAGGACAATAACATCATAGATTTCTTTTTTATCAGCACAAGCAACCGTAACAGACTTAGGCATAGACTACTACAGAACTGAAATTTAACCACCAGATCTTCCTAGTGTTCTGTATATAGGGTTAGTATTGAATCTCAGTGAAATATGGCCAGGTTGAGATGAACACCTGCATTGAAGCACTAATTGTTTGGTTCACCCATCCACAAAAGCCTGGTATCCCAACCCTCTGTTTACTCCACGTCACTAGGGATGTCCTGTCTCCCCTCAGCCTCCAATCCCCAATCAACTCACTGGTTCCGTTATTACTGGTTTCACAGTTATAGGCTTCTGATGGTCTTCACGTGCTCTTTGAAGACGAATGGTAGTCCCTACTGCTTCCGTTGTGTCTTTATCCAAACTGTTCTACCCTCAGTGGGATTTGGGAAACACAGAGTTAGCATTTTCTCCATCCACCATCTTCATAGACTCTTTATTTAAAGTTCTCCCCTTCCCCACCTCCACCCAGCCCAAAGACAAGCTCAGGTATTCCCCCTCCCTGCGCTTGCATAGATTTGTACCCGTCTCATTTAGAAGTCCCTTTGGCCAGGCGCGGTGGCTCACGCCTGTAATCCCAGCACTTTGGGAGGCCGAGGCGAGTGGATCACGAGGTCAAGAGATCGAGACCATCCTGGTCAACATGGTGAAACCCCATCTCTACTAAAAATACAAAAATTAGCTGGGCATGGTGGTGTGTGCCTGTAATCCCAGCTACTCAGGAGGCTGAGGCAGGAGAATTGCCTGATCCCAGGAGGCGGAGGTTGCGGTGAGCCGAGATCGCGACGTTGTACTCAGCCTGGGTAACAAGAGCAAAACTCCGTCAAAAAAAAAAAAAAAAAAAAAAAGAAGTCCCTTGATGCCCTTCCTCAGTGTCGTAGCAAACTTACTGAGGACAATTTATAAAATTTTAGCTTTTTTCTCCTCCCCAGATAAGTTAACAAATCTGTTTTGGGCCTACTACTTGGTTTCTCTTCATGAAACATTTCAACATTGCCCAGTTTCATTTCTTTCTTTCTTCTTTCTTTTTTTTTTGAGATGGAGTCTGGCTCTGTCACCCAGGCTGGAATGTAGCAGTGTGATCTTGGCTCACTGCAACCACCATCTCCCGGATTCAAGTGGTTCTCCTCCCTTAGCCTTCGAAGTAGCTAGGATTTTAGGCACGCACTACCATGTCCAACTGATGTTTTTGTATTTTTAGTAGAGACGGCGTTTCACCATGTTGGCCAGGCTGGTCTCAAACTCTTGATCCCAAATGATGCACTTGCCTTGGCCTCACAAAGTGCTGGGATTACAGGCAGGAGCCACTGCGCCCGGCCAGTTTCTTTTTAATTGTTATTTATCCTAACCCTCTTAGATGTAGAGGTCACTCACCAGCCTGTCCTCTGACTCAAATATGGAGTAATCAATGGTGAAATCTGCACCAAAGTCATCTGCAGAGGAGAAAGAAAATCAGTAGTCATAAAAGAAAAAGGTAATTCTAGATCTGGAAAAGAAAAGGGAAGAAGGCCGGGCACGGTGGCTCATGCCTATAATCCCAGCACTTTGGGAGGCCAGGGTGGGTGGATCACGAGGTCAAGAGATCGAGACCATCCTGGTCAACATGGTGAAACCCCATCTCTGCTAAAAATACAAACATTAGCTGGGCATGGTGGCACATGCCTGTAGTCCCAGTTACTCGGCAGGCTGAGGCAGGAGAATTCCTTGAACCCAGGAGGCGGAGGTTGCAGTGAGCCAAGATCGAGCCATTGCACTCCAGCCTGGGTAACAAAAATGAAACTCTGTCTCAAAAAAAAAGGGGGGGGAAGAAATTGCTCAGAATAGTTTAACTTAAGTTGTAAAACTGATTGGTATAATCCAATTTTACTTAGCTGTAATGTTAAAGACAGTTGTGAATATGTATGCATTTATATTTTCAATCTAAGTATCTAAAAGAATTTACAAATTTGAAAATTTTTCAAGTTCTTTTTTTAGAATTAGGGTCTCTATTACCAGTACAGTTGGTTCAGTCATAGCTCACTGCCACCTCCAACTCCTGAGCTCAAGTGATCCTCCTGCCTCAGCCTCCTGGGACTACATCCATAGGCCACCATGCCCAGCTAATTTAAAAAAGAAAAATTTTTTTTTTTTCCTATAGAGACAGGGTATGATGTCTCTACTTGATACCCAGGCTAGTCTTGAACTCCTGGGCTCAAGCAATCCTCATACCTAAAAATCACTATCTGGATAAATAACAAAATGAGTCCTCTTTTTTTTTTTTTTTTTAAAAGATGGAGTCTCACTGTCGCCCAGGGTGGAGTGCGTTGGCGTGATCTTGGCTCACCACAACTTCCTCCTCCGCAGTTCAAGTAATTCTCCCACCTCAGCCTCCTGAATATCTGGGACTACAGGCAGGCACCACCACACCCAGCTAATTTTTGTATCTTTAGTAGATACAAATATTGTATCTACTAAATGTTGGCCAGGCTGGTCTCAAACCTCAGGTGATTCACCTGCCACAGCCTTTCAGAGTGCTGGGATTACGGGTGTGAGTCACTGCGCCCAGGCCATCATGAATTTTGATAGGTTTTGTTCATAGCCAGATTTCTTTCTGACCCCGTAGCTCTGCTGCAAAGTGAAGAGCAGTCTCAGAACTAAATATTCTGAAGTCTTTCCCTAGTCAGCTAAGGGGAAGAGTCTTTCATGTACTCACCATAAGTGGGGGTGACTGTAAAATAATAGGCCACCTGATAATATTCATCCTCTTCTAGTCTTTCTTCATCCTCATATTCTTGTCCTATGGGGACAAGGACTACAGGTCAAGGGACATCTGGAACACCTTACCAACAGAAGGACACCTGGAGTTGACCTCGGTTCTTCCAGCTTTCTTGCTTGCTTTCTGTCTCCCCTCCAGTGGTCAGACTCCCTGCCTGCCTGTGTACCTCTGCACCCCTCTCAGTCTCTGGGCTCCATATCTGTAATGAGGCCTATTACTCTATGCCCTTTCAATCCAGAACTCCTAAAACAGAAAAAAGTCCCCTTCACACACTATAAACCCAAAGGGAGAACCAAACCTAAAAAAGGTAGGAAGAGTAGAGACCAGGAATCAGACACACCAAATCTTCTATTTAATATGCTCCAGATTGGGCGTGTAATCCCAGCACCTGTGGGAGGCAGAGGCGGGTGGATTACGAGGTCAAGAGATTGAGACCATCCTGGTCAACATGGTGAAACCCCGTCTCTACTAAAAACACAAAAAATTAGCTGGGCATGGTGGCGCGTGCCTGTAATCCCAGCTACTCAGGAGGCTGAGGCAGGAGAATTGCCTGAACCCAGGAGGCGGAGGTTGCAGTGAGCCCAGAGCGCACCATTGTACTCCAGCCTGGGTAACGAGCGAAACTCCGTCTCAAAAAAATATATATATATATGCTCCAGATCTTACTGTATTTGTGAGAGATCGTTTCTTATCAGTGTCTCTTGCAAATAACTAACAGACACCCTTAGGCTCTGGATTTGAGCTTTAGTTCCACCTTCACAGCTAACAGAATAACCCTGAACAATCCACTTAACATCCGCTTTCTTAAAATGAGTCAGCTGGACTAAATGACCCATCTCCGTTAGTTTTTCTTCCCTTCCAGAACTAAAAATATGTGGCTTTGATATGACTGGATCAAGAACTCCAGGCCTCCTGCTAAACACTTCCCTGAGCTCCCCGAATGCTTTCCCTTCAACTCTAAGCTAAGGACACAGGAATCTAGAGGAAAAGGAAACAATGAGACACACCTGGCAGACAGGGAACAAAGGAGGGAAGGAGCCAAGCTACTCTTGGGACCCCGTCCCTGAAGACAGCCAGTTTTCCACTCTTCAAAAGATCCCCCACTCCTGTGTCTTTACTAAGAGCAGGGTTTTCTCTCCAATTCTCTCGGAAAGGAGGTACCCTAGCTACTAGTTTCAGACTGTGACACCTTCCAAGAATCTCCTTCACCCTTTTTAGCCCCTCTCATCTTGTCCAACTTCCATGGTGATGAAGAACTCAGTTCAGTGTTGCTAGGGCCTCCTTGTGTCTGGAGCTCCATCCTCCTGTGACAGGACTCTGCTTTCCTTCCCCTTTCCTGGCTCTGCCTTCCAGATCTCCATTCTGCCCTCCACACCAGACCCTAGCACGATGAGAAAACTCTTATCACTCCCCATTGAAATGCATCTCTCACCCATAGCTCAGTTTTTTTCCTCCCACTCCATTGATGGTAGAAGACCTAGCACAAAAGCTCAGAGAGCGAAGTGGACTTACCCAGGATAAGTGGCACAGCAAGGATGGCTACAAAGAGGACATCCATTCTGGATTCTGAACTATTGCTGTGAAAGTAAAAAAGGAAATTACAGAGTTTCCCACCAAACTTACCCCGCCTCCCCTCCTCCTCCGAGGCAGGGAAGGAGCTGGAGCGAAGCAACTCTTCTCCTCCCAGGGGGCAGAACTCCCCGCCTACTGGCTGACTGACTGCATCTCCAGTTACTGCTGGTCCCCAGCCAGAGCGCCCAGATTGACAGGCAAAAGTGGGTTTGATGCAAACATATTTATTGAGCTCCCGCTGCCCTAGCTTAGATCCACTCAGGACACCCACTGCCACTACTAAGAAAAATAAAAAACAAGCCTACCGAGGAGTTTCCCCTCTCCCCCTTTTCCTTCCTTCCTCCAAGGCCTCATAAAAAGCTCACCCTCCCTCTCACTGTCCCCGACTTACCATCACCACCTAGAGTTGCCTTTCTCCCTGGGGCTCCCTCACAGTCCCTTTTCATGACAGTGGAAGTGATCTGAGGAAGGGGTGAGCATCTTTCTAGACTGAAAAGAGTCCGTTTCTTCTGTCTGTCTCGAGCTGTGGAGGATGGGAACAGTATTTACCCATCATTGTCTGACTTAAAGCACCTGCTGCGTGGCTTCAGATAAAAGTCTCTCAGCCACAGTCAGTTATTTCCTCTCTGGTAATACTCACCTCACCTCACCTCACCTCACCTTTCTCAACTTCCAGGATGGAAGAAGGGAGAAAGCAGATAGTCTCTTTCCCTGATAGGAGTGCCACACCCTCCTTCCCACATTCAGTCAATTGGTGTATTCATTCAGTCCTATAGGAGTAGAGTTTGTTTTGTTTTTACCAGAAAATGAATACCAACTTTATTAATATAATAGCAACAGAAAGGGTTTCCAATTTCTCAGAAGGAAAATAACATAACACCAGCACAAGGGTTTAAAGAGTAAATGCCAGGCCAGGCGTGGTGGCTCACACCTGTAATCCAAGCACTTTGGAGGCCAAGGCAGGCGGATCACCTGAGGTCGGGAGTTCAAGACCAGTCTGACCAACATGGTGAAACCCCATCTTTTAAAAATTTAAAAACAGAGTAAATGCCTACATTTCTTGTGCTGATAGCTTCCCACCACACACCGAAGGTTCCTCAAGGACAGCTGTTACCAGAGCTGCTGCGAGAACATGTTTTTCACTGGGCGTAGCTTCACAGTCAACTCCTCAAGCAGAAGACTAAAATATTTCTTTTTAGAAGATCTTGTTTGCGGGAGAACATACCAATATGGAGAAAAGACCTTTGCTTCTAAAATTCAAGAAACACCATTAACTAATCTATCAGTTTTTCTCTGATACACTGTGCCAGAGTGCCCTGTGAAGAAACCTTTTCCATCCATGCCACGTGACTGGGTGAGAGAAGAGTGGCAAGCTGCCAGTACACTAGCAGGCACTCCTGGTGATGCTCTAGGCTCTGCTCCCTTTCTGCTGGTAGTAGTAGGCATCTTTTCTGGCAGCTGCAGCAGCTTGATGTGTGGGGAAGGAAGGGGCCACCCACCAATCACCTTTTCTTGAAGCCATATTTTTTGCGTTCATGGAAGAGATCTGTCTTAGAGCTCCCCAAATTAACAATCTTTGTGCAGCCATCTCTATCCTTCTCCTGGATGGTACACTCCTTAAAATAATAGGCATCAGAGACCCCAGGGCCTCCACAGATCACACAGTTCCCCTGGTAAGATCCATAGTCATACTCATCACATATGCGCACCAGAGTGCAGGGACGCACAGAGGAGTCACAAATCACACACTTGCCATCACATTTTTCTTTTTCTTTTTGAGATGGAGTTTTGCTCTTGTTACCCAGACTGGAGTGTAATGGCGCGATCTTGACTCACTGCAACCTCCGCCTCCTGGGTTCAAGCAATTCTCCTGCCTCAGCCTCCCGAGTAGCTGGGATTACAGGCGCACACCACCACGCCCAGCTAATTTTTTGTATTTTTAGTATAGACAGGGTTTCACCTTGTTGACCAGGATGGTCTCGATCTCTTGACCTTGTGATCCACCCGCCTCGGCCTCCCAAAGTGCTGGGATTATAGGTGTGAGCCGCCGTGCCCGGCCTGACGTCACATTTTTCACAAAGTCTTCCAATGGCAACACCAGTCTGCTGTGGCAAAAGATCAAATCAGGATGGTGTTTAGCCATAATTCCCAACGAAGCCCAGGAGTAGAGTATTTATCCTTTTATCTGCTTTTATGCTTCCCATTTTCATTCAATTCAGAAACAGCAACATATGTGCTAGGCACAGTGTGCTAGGCCTAGTCTGACAGGCATACAGAGCTTACAGGCAAGGGAATAAGAAGACAGTTTTGTTTTGTTTTTAAGGGAAGTTAGTAAGTATCTGCTCAACATTTATTATGAGTCAGGCACTATGCAAGTGTCTGTGGAACTACCTATGAACAAGATAGGTTTAGAGGCTGCTCTCAATGGTCGGAAGATGCTGTGGTGACAGCTTAATGAACAGATGAGGCCGGGTGCAGTGGCTCATGCCTGTAATCCCAGCACTTTGGGAGGCCAAGGCAGGCGGATCACCTGAGGTCAGGAGTTTGAGACCAGCCTGGCCAAAATGGTGAAACCTCATCTCTACGAAAAATACAAAAATTACTCGAGTGTGGTGGCAGGCACCTGTAATCCCAGCTACTAGAGAGGCTGAGGCAGGACAGTCACTTGAACCTGGGAGGTGGAGGTTGTAGTGAGCTGAGATTGTACCACTGCACTCCACCCTGGGTGACAGAGTGAGACTTCATCTCAAAAAAAAAAACATGAGAATTGTCTCATTCCTATCCACCTGACTCTGAAGCAGGACATATTGGAGTCATGATAACGCCACTTGCCTGATGACTTTCCACATAAATCTTTTCTTGCTTTCCTTTTTTTTTTTTTTTTTTTTGGAGACAGAGTCTTGCTCTGTTACCCAGGCTGGAGTGCAGTGGTGTGATCTTAGCTCACTGTAACCTCCACCTCTCAGCTTCAAGCTATTCTCATGCCTCAGCCTCCTGAGTAGCCAGGACTGCAGGTGCATACTACCACACCTGGCTAATTTTTTAGTAGAGACAGGGTTTCACCATGTTGGCCAGGCTAGTCTTGAACTCCTGACCTCAAATGATCCACCTGCCTTGGCCTCCCAAAGTGCTGGGATTACAGGCGTGAGCCACTGTGACTGGCCTCTGTGTAAATCTATACAATCTATTCCTCAGCTCCTTTCCAGAATTTCCTGGAAGACATGTAAAACATGTATGTGAGTATGCACATATGGGTTAAATTATAAATCACTTCCAGGAAGGAAAGGCAGTTTGGTTCTCTTGAAACTATTTCTGTGTTTTGTTTTGTTTTTGGTACTTTGATTACACTTTCAAAAATAAGATTACAGATTCCATCTTTTCCATCCTCAGATTCCTTTGCCTCACATCCTAAGGACTAACTCCTTCCCATCCAAATGAGATTACAATACCCTCCTTTCCTACTGTAATTTTCGTTTTGAGACAGAGCCTCAGTTCATGGCTCAGGTTCTAGTGCAGTGGCGAAATCTCAGCTCACTGCCACCTCTGCCTCCCGGGTTAAAGCTGTTCTCGCCCCTCAGCCTCCTGAGTAGCTGGGATTACAGGTGGGCGCCATCACACCCGGCTAATTTTTGTATTTTTAGTAGAGATGGGGTTTCGCCATGTTGGCCAGACTGGTCTGAAACTCCTAACCTTAAGTGATTGCCCGCCTTGGCCTCCCAAAGTGCTGGGATGACAGGGGTGAGCCACCGCGCCCGGCCTACTTTAATTCACTCTAATATACAACCCCTCTCCCCAGCCTGAGGAAAAGGCACCACTGAGGTTCATTTTTCAGAAAATAAATAGAGGAAGTATGACATAAAAGGAACTTGGGGCGGGTGGAGGTGTCGTTTTCCTTCAACCCCATCGTTCTAATTGCTTTTAAACTCCCGAACTCTTTCAAAATGCCTTCCTAACACTTCTCTCCAGGCTCCTTTTGCTTCTCTCTGTTTCTCTTGCCGTTACAGATGAAGGCTTTATTACTGATACACTGTATTCCATGTTTATTATACTAGCCGGTCCAAAGAGCGCCTACTTTTTAATATAATCATCCCTTAGGCAGCAGCTGTAGCCCATTTCCTCTCATTCAAGCAAGAACAATACCCGTCCCTATCTCCCTGCGCCCCATCCTGTGCTCTTTGTATTTGTCCCTTAGATTCAAACAGAACCTACCCCCTCTGAAGCCCTTCAAGAAGAGCTAGGAATGCTGGGCGCGGTGGCTCAAGCCTGTAATCCCAGCACTTTGGAAGGCTGAGGCGGGCGGATCACCTGAGGTCAGAAGTTCGAGACCAGCCTGACCAATATGGTGAAATCCCGTCTTTAAAAGAAAAAGAAGAGCTAGGATTGCTACATTTCCCCACTACGTGACGAAAGGAAACCGCGACGGAGGCTCAACTGAACCCAGGAATCGGTGTCTCGACAGGTCCATCCCCGGCCCACCCACTTTAACCAGCTCCAGCCACTCCAGGACGAAGTCAAGGCCTCGGAAGGCGACTACAACTCCCAGCAGCTCGAGCAGCCCCGCCCCCACGGGTCCGCCCGCGCTGATTCTCCATTGGCCTTCCGGGGGTGGGGATTAGATGGGAGGTGGCCGTGGGTCTGCGGCGGGGATTTGTTCCCTCTTCGGCTTCCGTAGAGGAAGTCGCGCGGACCTTCCTCCGGGGTTTCGGTGCCCTCCCCCCTGCCCCTTCCCCGGGGTCCGGGGGTGACATTGCACCGCGCCCCTCGTGGGGTCGCGTTGCCACCCCACGCGGGCTCCCCAGCTGGCGCGCCCCTCCCATTCGCCTGTCCTGGTCAGGCCCCCACCCTCCCACCTGCCCAGCCATGGGGGCTGCGGTGTTTTTCGGCTGCACTTTCGTCGCGTTCGGCCCGGCCTTCGCGCTTTTCTTGATCACTGTGGCTGGGGACCCGCTTCGCGTTATCATCCTGGTCGCAGGGTGAGTAGGGGGTCCAGGAGACGCGGGAGAGCGTCGAAGAGAGAGGTGCGGAAGGGGCTGGAGGAACTGGGGCGAGCCCGGGAGCCTGAATCGGGGGCGCTAAGTCCGCGGTGAAGTTTGGGCGGGGGTGGGGGGTGGATCTGGGAGATTTGCCCTTTCCCGCAGTTGGTTTCCACCTTCCAAGGATCTCACAGATTCCTCCTATATTCCTCCCAGCGACGTCAGAGAAGGCCCAAGGCCGAGACTCGTGAGGGGACTGTGCTGACCTAGGCTGGCCGAGTCAGGTGCCCTAGGGGAGGATCCAGTAATGGATACCTCGCCCTTCGGTGCTAGCACACTCTGGCTCTCATCGCTCTAAAGACTTTTTAATCAGATTTCTCCCCTTTCCCCTCCGTTCACGTTTCTACAGATGAGTCCCTTGGTGGAGACAATTACCCTACCTGGTCCCTGTCTCCCTAACCATCCGGAAGGCTAACTTCCACCTTTCATGCACCTTTGGCTGCTTTCCCTCCTTGATTTCTCTGGCTGCCCCTACCACTGTCTCACTGCCCTTGTCTTTTTCTCAGGGCATTTTTCTGGCTGGTCTCCCTGCTCTTGGCCTCTGTGGTCTGGTTCATCTTGGTCCATGTGACTGACCGGTCAGATGCCCGGCTCCAGTACGGCCTCCTGATTTTTGGTGCTGCTGTCTCTGTCCTTCTGCAGGAGGTGTTCCGCTTTGCCTACTACAAGCTGCTTAAGTAAGAAGATGGAGTGGTCTGGAGGGGAGAGGGGCATTGGGCTGCACTGTGGGAAATGGGGCAGCCCCTGGGTGGTGGTTTGGAAGAGGAGGCACTAAGGGAGTACATTAGAGGGAAAGGAGCATCCCTGCCTTCCCTCATGTTTCCCCTACCCCACCCCACCCCAGGAAGGCAGATGAGGGGTTAGCATCGCTGAGTGAGGACGGAAGATCACCCATCTCCATCCGCCAGATGGCCTATGGTGAGCCAAGGGAGAGGGACTGGAGGAGGGAGTTGGACAGCCCTCTCCTCTAGGGAAGTCTCTAAATATCCACATGTTCTAAGTGGCTTCTTATTTTCCTTCATCCGTCACTTCCAAAGAAAGGTGGTCTGGAGGGAGAGTAGGTGTGAAAGAATTGTAACCGGGCATGGGGAGGGGTCAGTGTTGAACAGGCAGCAGTGTGATCTCTGACATTGATGAGATCCTCCCTTCCCCCAGTTTCTGGGAGGGGTCGGCGGTGAACAGGCAGCAGTGTGATCTCTGACATTGATGAGATCCTCCCTTCCCCCAGTTTCTGGGAGGGGTCGGCGGTGAACAGGCAGCAGTGTGATCTCTGACATTGATGAGATCCTCCCTTCCCCCAGTTTCTGGTCTCTCCTTCGGTATCATCAGTGGTGTCTTCTCTGTTATCAATATTTTGGCTGATGCACTTGGGCCAGGTGTGGTTGGGATCCATGGAGACTCACCCTATTACTTCCTGACTTCAGGTAAGATCCACCTCTTATGTAGCCTTCACGCCCCATCCATTCTTGTCCCTGATCTGATTTATTGGCCTTCCCTGGGAGACTTCTTTGGCTCAACATCTCAGGAGGCTAGGAGAAGATCAGGGATGTATCTCCTCCCCATCTCCCTCCCTGCAGCCTTTCTGACAGCAGCCATTATCCTGCTCCATACCTTTTGGGGAGTTGTGTTCTTTGATGCCTGTGAGAGGAGACGGTACTGGGCTTTGGGCCTGGTGGTTGGGAGTCACCTACTGACATCAGGACTGGTGAGTTGGAGACAGGGGCCGGAGTTAGGGAGAAAAGCATTTAATGGTGAGTGGGATGTCGGGGAAAGGATATCATCACTTCTTAACATTTTGAACTTACCTTGGGAGGAGGCGGAAAGGTGAGTCTTTTGAGGTCTCTCACCTCACCATCAATTCTGTCATCTGCTCTGGGGAGGAGATTGAATGAATTAGTCAAACTATAATGCAGAGGGCCTGAGGTGAGCAGGAGTGGCAGAAACCTTTGAAGGAGCTGAAAAATTAAGTCCCCTTAACCACAAGGTGTTGGTGCTCTGAAGGGAAAGGTGGGAGTTCGAGAGAGAGATCTGGGAGTCGAAGGTGCAGAGAGAATGTGGGGTTTAGGTTGGGGGAGAATCTAATAATCTCTTTCCTACTTTTACCCTCCTTCCTAGACATTCCTGAACCCATGGTATGAGGCCAGCCTGCTGCCCATCTATGCAGTCACTGTTTCCATGGGGCTCTGGGCCTTCATCACAGCTGGAGGTTCCCTCCGAAGTGTTCAGCGCAGCCTCTTGTGTAAGGACTGACTACTTGGACTGATCGCCTGACAGATCCCACCTGCCTGTCCACTGCCCATGACTGAGCCCAGCCCCCGCCCGGGTCCATTGCCCACATTCTCCGTGTCCTTGTCGTCGGTCTACCCCACCACCTCCAGGGTGTTGCTTTGTCCTTTTGTGACCGTTAGTTTCTAAGCTTTACCAGGAGCAGCCTGGGTTCAGCCAGTCAGTGACTGGTGGGTTTGAATCTGCACTAATCCCCACCATCTGGGGACCCCCTTGTTGTCCAGGACTCCCCCTGTGTCAGTGCTCTGCTCTCACCCTGCCCAAGACTCACCTCCCTTCCCCTCTGCAGGCCGACGGCAGGAGGACAGTCGGGTGATGGTGTATTCTGCCCTGCGCATCCCACCCGAGGACTGAGGGAACCTAGGGGGGACCCCTGGGCCTGGGGTGCCCTCCTGATGTCCTCGCCCTGTATTTCTCCATCTCCAGTTCTGGACAGTGCAGGTTGCCAAGAAAAGGGATCTAGTTTAGCCATTGCCCTGGAGATGAGATTAATGGAGGCTCAAGGGTAGATGAGCTCTGAGTGTCTCAGTACCCTCTCCCCAGACTGGACATCTTTTTCTCAGGCCTGAGGGGAACGATTTTTCACGTGATAAAGACCCTAATCTGCCTTTTTTTCTTTTTTGAGGTGGGGGAGGGAGGAGGTATGTTGGAACTCTTCTAACCTCCTGGGGCTATATTTTCTCTCCAATTGCTCCTCATGGCTGGGCTCATTTCTGTCTCTTTCTCCCTGGTCCCAGACCTTGGGGGAAAGGAAGGAAGTGCATGTTTGGGAACTGGCAATACTGGAACTAATGGTTTCAACCCTTAAGCACCAGCATCCCTCCTCTCCCCAAGGTGAAGTGGAGGGTGCTGGGGTGAGCTGGCCCTCCAGAGCTGCAGTGCCGCTGGAGGAGTCAGACTGCCATGACATCGTAGGGAAGGAGGGCAGATTTTTTTGTAGTTTTTAATTGGGGTGTGGGAAGGGTGGGGAGGTTTTCTATAAACTGTATCATTTTCTGCTGAGGGTGGAGTGTTCCATCCTTTTAATCAAGGTGATTGTGATTTTGACTAATAAAAAAGACTTTGTAATTGTGGGGGAACTTGGCTGTTAAGGGGGAGGGGATAGCATGTTCCTTGAGATTTCTGCCCTCTCGTGTCTCTTGTCCACTGATCTCCAAGCATAGCCTTGGTGCAAGGGCAGAAATCTGGGCTAGAGGTTTAATATGTCTGAAACTTTGGGTTAAGTGTTTTCCCAGAAGCTAATCTTTCTTTCCAGGGGTGGCATAAAATGAGTTAATCACCCATGCTGCTTTTCCCCATCCTTTGCCTATCTTTACCACCTGAGGAATTCAGGAACTTGTACAGCCTCAAGAGCCTCAAAGAACAGGGCAGAATTAAAGTCAGAAACTTTAATTTCCAAATATATGGATCAAAAATATACAACTTCACCAGCAACTCTTTATCCTAAGGAGAGATTCTGCAGTGTGTCTAGGGAAAGGGCCTTAAAGGTGAGGGGTAGAGGACTTTGGGGTACACCCCAAACTTCCCCTGCAGCTAAACAGTCTGTTCTCTGCACGAACAGCCCAGGTCTCCTCATTTCCTCCAGATGTTTGGAGAGACTGAAGGCTCTGCAGTTTTTCCTCGAGTGACAGGCTGGGTCCATTCCTCTCTGTAGGGGGTGTCCGGGGAAGGAGGACGTCTGCCTACTACTACAGTATTTCTGTCCAGACCCTATACCCCATTTTAGAGGCTTCCTGACAGTCACAGGGGAAGTCATCCACATCCACGGTATCGGAGAGGGAATTTATGCCTCAGTGGTGGCTCGCGCTGAGGTGAAGACCACACTCTTTCGATTTTCCAGCCTCTTCTTCCTGGAAAGGGGAATGGCTCATGAGAATGACTACCATCTAAGTGAAGCAGATTAGAGGTAGAATAGGAGAATGCTTTGTCATAGAAAAGAAAGGGCTGGGCAAGGTGGTTCTTGCCTGTAATCCCAGCACTTTGGGAGGCTGAGGCAGGTGGATCACTTGAGGTCAGGAGTTGGAGACCAGCCTGGGCAACATAGTGAAACCCCATCTCTACTCAAAATATAAAAAGTAGCCATGCATGGTGGCACATGCCTGTAGTCCCAGCTCTTCAGGAGGCTGAGGTAGGAGGACCACTTGAGCCCAGGAGGTGGAGGTTGCAGTGAGCTGTGATAAAGCCACTGTACCCCAGCTTGGACAACAGCGAGAACCTGTCTCAAAAAAAAAAAAAAAAGCCAGGTGTGGTGGCTCACACCTGTAATCCCAGTACTTTGGGAGGCTGAGGCAGGCGGATCACCTGAGGTCAGGAGTTTGAGACCGCTGGCCAATATGGTGAAACTTTGTTTCTACTAAATATACAAAAATTAGCTGGGTGTGGTGGTGTGTGCCTGTAGTCCCAGCTACTTGGGAGGCTGAGGCAGGAGAATTACTTGAACCCGGCGGTAGAGATTGTAGTGAGCTGAAATTGCACACCACTGCACTCCAGACTGGGTAACAGAGCAAGACTCCCTCTCAAAAAAAAAGAAAGAAAAAAGAAAGGACTGGAGGAATGGAAAGTAGGACCTCACCGAATCTTTCTAGCAATGAAATAAGCAGCCAGCAGAAGGCAGAGACAGCCAACCAAGATTCCTACACCTAGACTCAGCATTTCACCTGGGGGAGATAAAGGTAAAAGGTGTCAGCCTAGGACTAACAGATTTTCAGCCTTTCCCCTACTTGCTGAGGATGCCTCCCCTCCCCCCAGTACCTTGTAAGGCTGTCTTACCTGTTGTATACAAGGGTCCCTCTGTAAGAGAAGAAAAGGGGTCAGTGGGACTTCAGATCCCCATCCCAGCTGGGGAGCAGCACTCTGCTTCTATGCCTGGGAGAATTACCCGGGCACCCTGGGGTGGGGGTTGGTTCCCAATCCAAGCTAGTCCTGGAAACCCCTTCCCCTTTTAGCCTTTTTTTCCCCGTAGGCTCCCTAGTTCCTGCCATCTGTCCCTCAGTTTCCCATCTCTTCTGAGTTACGCAGAATCACCTTGGATGAAAGAAGCAAAGACCATTCGCTGATTGAGAGGCTGAGGGGCTCGGTAGTTCTGTACCAGAGGCTCAGAGGGCTCCTCTTCTGTGGAGAACAATGTCTCCTGAAGCTTTTCCAGCTGAGGAGCAGAGCGTGGGAGACGTGTCACGGGAGTGGGAAGGGGTCTGAAGATACAATCGTGATCTCTCCCCTCACGTCATTTCTCCACCACTTACCTGTTCCGTTGAAATCTGGGACCTTCTGTAGAAGACTGTCCAGAGTACACTCTGGTAGCAAGGGGGAGTTGTGAGCGAGCCATTGTAGCGGAAATACTGCCCCAGCTGTGGGGGGAGCAGCTCTCTCAGGTTGAAGGGAGGCACTGAGGTCTTCTGATCTGGGGAGAACAGACTGGGACTCATCTTCCTTTCAGTGTACCCTAGCTTACCTAGATAGGGCTCCCAGAAGCAAAATTCCTTGGCTCTAAGTAATTGCCTCATCCCAAGACTAATAGTTTTTGAAAGTTTTTTGAAAGTCTAATCTCACTTCCTGCTGTAGATTTTTTTTTTTTTTTTGAGATGGAGTTTCGCTGTTGTTACCCAGACTGGAGTGCAATGCGCGATCTCGGCTCACCGCAACCTCCACCTCCTGGGTTCAAGCAATTCTCCTGCCTCAGCCTCCCAAGTAGCTGGGACTACAGGCGCGCACCATCATGCCCAGCTAATTTTTGTATTTTTAGTAGAGACGGGGTTTCACCATGTTGACCAGGATGGTCTCGATCTCTTGACCTCATGATCCAACTGCCTTGGCCTCCCAAAGTGCTGGGATTATAGGCATAAGCCACCGTGCCTGGCCCCTGCTGTAGATTTTTAAGGCTCACCTTTATGCCTGATTTCATGCAAGTGACTCAGAATGTGTTCGTAAGCTATATTCTTAGTCTCACCCACCTGGAAGGGGAGGAAAGAGAATTTGGAATGAGTCCATCTTTGGAATAAGACATTTATGTACAGAATAAATGGTCGGGATGGGCTGCTGCCTGCCACAGGAGGGAAACAGAAATAGGTGTGACGGCTGCAGAGGAACTGGAGAGAAACCTGGAAGGGACTGGGAGCTACTGACCTCGATTAGGATGCCCAAGACAGCCAGGCCCTGAGGCCTCAGAGCAGCCTCACTCAAGCTGTCATAGGACTCAGAGTCATAATGTACAACGTGGAGCTGAAGGAAGGAAGAGGAAATTGAACTATGGAATGTCCCCACCCACTTCAAGGCCTTGATCCTAGCCATCACCATCCCCCTGCTGTCCCTGCCATGCACTAAGTCTGTCCCACAAAGGTTGGCCTTATCCCTCCAGTATGACTTTTCCCAAGGTCCAGATTCTTTTCCCAGGACCAACCATCCCTGGTACTTTGCCCGAATCCCAGCTATTTGTTCCCTGGTACCTCCGCAACTGTGGCTTCACCATTGATCTGGTGTTCTGACCCCCCTGGGGATCCTTTCTGACCCCAGTGCAGGTGGAGTTGGGCAGCTACATATTTTCGAGGAAGTCCACCCAGATACAGGGTAGAGGGCAGAGAGAGTTGCACTGTGAAGAAAAGAGCAAGCTAGGATTGGTGGAGGAATGCAGATACATTCCCACTCCTGAGTTATCACCACGTCTTGAGAGACTTGGCTCTCTTCCGGTTTCCTCCCCAAGTAGCACCCAGTTCCTCCCATAGACGAGTGCTCTTCTAGCATATCTTCCTTTTTCTCAGTGAAGATCAAATCAGTGCGATGACACTAACCTACCTATCGAGCTTGACTAGAAACATTTTGGTTTCCGCCTTGGCTACAGGAGCCTGATCCGCATTCTCATATTTCCAAATTCATGGACAAAGCTTTTTGAGAATTCGCAGGTTAGGAGAATGCTCCTGAAATTATTTATTCATAGCAGATGGGTAATGTGCTGACATCGTAACAAGGATTGAGGGTGGCACAGTTTACGCATGCTCACGAACACCCCATCATCACCCTCATGTACCACAAGAGGATCTGACTCCTAAAAGCTGAGCTGCAGCCTACAACTTCTTGGAGGCCACGCTTTTACCTGTGTGGCCATTGTTGTGCAGGTCCAAAGGCTCGGTGCCAGGCTGGTCATATCCGTGGGGCTGCAGGGCAGGCAACTCAGGGTCAAATGTCACCCTGTCGGTCTGGATATCGATGGGCGACTGGGCATTGTTTCCACACTCAGGGTAAGAGGCTGGCCAATGGTCCTGACCATGTGGGCCTGGGGGGTTACCGAAGACATTAGTCCTGTCCTCCAACTCCAGGCACCCTTCAACACCGCCCCCATCCCTTTGACCCTGTCCCCTAACCAAACCATACATCTGGGTGGAGGTAGAAATGGACTTCCCTCCACCCAGATTAAGACCCCGGTTGTACAAGGATGGGTGAGGTAGGAATCCTGTTGAGTATCATGCTCCGGTTCCCCTTCTCTATCCTGATGAATGCGGAATGGTAGCTCTTTTACTTACCTATATTTTGAGGACAAGAAAGCTGAATGAGGAGAGAGATACATAGAAAACCTGAATATCCTAAGAGATGGGATTAGAGAGTAGGAGTAGAAAAATGGGAGAAATAAAATGATCCTAGAGAGGCGAGGCACAGTGGCTCACACCTGGAATAGCAGCTCTTGGGGAGGCTGAAGCAGGTGGATCTCTTGAGGTCAGGAGTTCGAGACCAGCCTGGCCAACATGGTCAAACCCCGTCTCTACTAAAAACACAAAAATTAGCCAGATGTGGTGGTGCGCACCTGTAATCCCAGCTACTCGAGAGGCTGAGGCAGGAGGCTCACTTAAACCTGGGAGATGGAGTTTGCAGTGAGTCCAGATTGCACCACTGCACTCCAGCCTGGGCGACAGCACGAGACTCTGTCTCAAAAAAAAAAAAAAAACCGTCCTGCTGGAGGCTCCCTATCACGTGGACTTGGGATTCAGATATCCTGACTTTTCATCATTCACTTCTTGCTGTCACACTGACCTTTTGTCATGGACTCTGGAGTTCAGTTATGTCATTAATCGGTAGTTCATAGGAATTGAACTGTACCTCCCCAGTGTCACAAACTATCCCGCCATCCTCTTCGTCACCCCTGACCTCCAGCTCTGTCCCAATTTCAGATGCAGGTTAGGGGTATGATGGATTAAGATAGAGACAGCCAGAAGGAGACCTGGCAGCTAAGCTTTCCCCCCACCCAGCTTCCTTTCCACCCCAGCTCCCTCACTCCTACACGATTTACTGAGGACTTAACTAGCTTTTCTGCCAAATCAGGAGGTGTAGGATTTGATGATTAGAGCCGGATCTGAGAGCCAAATACGTGAAACTCAACGCAGTGGGACATCCAGAAGGGAGGAGCTGGGTTGAGAAGCTAAAGGAAGACTCCTCCCCACCCGCACAGCATGTCTTCCTGCCAGGTGAGGAGGTTCCCGCGTGAAAGGAGTGTCGGGAGGCCTCGAGATCTGCTCTCACCCTCATATGTCCAGTGTTGACCTGCAAGGCAGAAGGATTTGGGTTACAGCCAGCGCAGCCTGGGGCAGAGCCCTGGCCTCCACACTCCCCTCCCTCTAGCATTCTCTACTGCTCCACCTCCCTCTCGGCCGCCCCTCCTCCCTCTGCTCCAGCACTTTCCAAAGGAAGCCCTGAAACTGGACACCTCTGTGGAAAGGTCGGGGGGTCTATTTAAATTCACCAGCCAGGCTCTGCTGGTGCCTGCTGAGTTAAGCGAGAGGAGGAAAGAAAAGAGGTAAAGCCCAGGGACTAAAATTAACCTGGATCCAAATGTGCGATTGGCCCAACCCTTACTTTTCTCTAATCTGTGCCAAGTCAATCCAACACTTAGAAGATTGGGGTGGGCGCAGTGAGGGTGTGGGCAGAGGGTTTGAAGGATAGAGACTAGAAAGAGGGAAGGAGAAAGGAGTTCAGAGTGTGTGTGTGTGTTGGGGGGGTGCTACGGAGCGGGGAAGGGGGGATTATTCCTTTGCTTTGAAAAACTGCATGAATAAAGGCACTGAGCTGTATGGTCATAAGTAAATTCTTCCTTTCTGGTCCCAGTAGCTCCTTATCACCAGGAGGCTCTGCTCCCTGCATTCCGAGATGGTTAGGGGAGGGTGGGAGTCAGGGCAGGGTCTACTCTAGATTGAGGGTGGTGGGTGGGCACAGGCAGCCAGGCTGGCAGGGACAGGATGAAAGTGAAGCATTGTGTGTAGAGAAGAGAGCTGCCAGCTGGGTCACATGCCAGGCTCTCGTGCAATCCTGTCTGACTCAGGCTGGGGGGTCTGCAGGTCCAGCGCCTCCCCAGGGCCAAACTGCCGCAAGGAGAAAAGAAAGGCCTTCATGCAGGTTCATGCTGCATATCCAAACTCCTAGAAACGCTGGAGAAAAATCCTGAATTCCTTCCTCTCTCTCTCAGCCCCTTTACTTCCTCTAACTTGTGAGATGCCCTGCTCTTACCCTTGACCTATTCTGCTGGCCCAAGGGAGAGCTGGAGGCAGCCTCTCAGTTACCGACTCTGTGGGACCCCCCAACAGCTCGAATTCCCCGGTCTGTGAAGGTGCCCGTCTCTTCTGGTCAGAGCCTCAACGCATTTATTCGACGTCTCTTCCTCCTCTTTTCCTATGTTTTTCTTTCTCCTCAGATGAGATTTGTGACTCTCCATTTGGCTGCCCGCCTGCCCCTGTCATCTCTGCATTTGTCGTCTACCCTCTGGACACCCCCCATCCCCCCTGCTCTTTCCACAAACCTCAGTTACGCATCTAATGTGTGCTGGATACTGTGCTAGGCATGGGAAACACAGAAGTGAGGTCTGTGGTTCCAGGGGACACTCCTGGAGCGCTTGAGCCTGTTCTCCCCAAAATCCTTCCTCATCTCCTGGGAGCTCCTGAAAGTCCTTTGAAAACTAGAGCGTCAAACAAACGTTCACTCTTATACTGCGGCTTTCAGGGGATAACTAGGGGGTTAAGTCGCTTCACAGAATGAAGAAGGAACCTTGGCCAAAAGGGGATGAATTGGAGATCAGGGTCCGAGCTGGCCAGGAGGTATTCTTTCCGCTACCCCCAGCTATCTATTCATGCCAGGCCTCTTTGACTCCCTACTTAAGGAGTTTGTAAATAAAGAAGTCCAGGAGTGCCAACTGGGGCCGGGTCAGTGGGAGAAAGAGCTCTGGGGGAAAATCTGTAGCCTGCAGAGATTCCAGCACTTGCCTGTGTACACACCCAGCCCCCCGCTCATTCTCCCCACCTCCAATAATAGCAAGGCTGGAAAGGCAAAAGATAAAGAAGGGAAGTGGTCTCCTCTACACTCCGCTCACTTTTTCCCTCGTCCCTGAGCCTATTATTCCAGCCTCTAGGCTTCCTTGCACACCTCTCCTCCCCGCGTTAAGCACACCTGGCGACATGTGAACATCAGCACAAATCAACACACAAACGTTTAGTTGTACCTACCCCCGTCTGCAGCCAGGATCCAAATCACCTCTAGCAGGAGGGCGGAGAACAACATAGTGTCCCGGGAAGGGGCACAGGGGACTGGGAATTTGAGGACTAGAGGACTAGGACAAGCTGGGGTGGGGGGGGGGAAGAGAGAGAGAGGGAGAGAGAGAGAGAGGAAAATTCTTGGCGTGGAGTGTATCGCTGCTTGTCTTGCTGTTTCTGTGTCTCTGTGGGCTTCCAGGGAATTTGGGGTTCAGTAGGGTACCATGGGTTTCTGGGTCCCCAGGACAAATCTCTTGCTGCCTCTTTCTCTGCCCTCTCTCTTTATCTCCCTCTGCAGTCTCCACTCCACTAGCGGGCCGGCGACTTTACAACTGCCTCCTGCTTTTAAGGTGGCTCTGGACGGGTGTATGTGGGGAGGGGGGGCTGCCTGGGCTGCAGGCGAGCAGCTCCTTAAATAGCCAATTAGGCATGCAGGATGGCCCCACTCGGAGCTGCATCGTGGCAGGTTTCACCGGAGCGCTGGCCCTAGCTCAGGAGTCCAGCTGGGGTGAGCTATTCCTTCCTCTGCTAATCACACAGATACTGCTTACGGGAGTGTTTCCTGGAAGCTGGCGGGGGCAAGGAAGGGATTTTGGGGTTCAACTCAGCCCCCTCAAGAGGACACTGTGTTTTCATCCCCCCGCCCTGGCTTCTCCTCTGCAGAGCAGCTCCCTGGGCGGCATGGAGCAGATGGCGGGGGTACCTGTTCCCAATTCCCTGCAGAATCTGAGTTGCTCTGGAATGAGAAGAGTCCAGAATGAGAAGATATGTAACAAGAAGGAACTGGGGATTCCGGGTGCAGGTGAGGGGTGGAGGAAGTCAAGAACTAAAACCCGAGTTGTGTCCTGAGTTCTAAGGGAGAGAAGTGAGGCCAGGAGAACTCATCTGGAGCAATCTCTTCTGTGCCTGTCACCACCCCCTTCCCACGGTGAGGCCTGGGTCCACGTGCCTGTGTGGCCTGGGAGGGGGGTGTTGTTTGCTGGATAAAGCCCATTTGTGTGCCCAGTGGGGGAGGGTGTAGCAGCACCATGGAGAGACAGCGGCTGTAACTGCCAGACCCAGCCACCTCCCTCTCCAGGGAGCCCAGATCTAGGGCGGCTTTTGTCACTGAAGAGGACACTGACCTCTGGCAGAGAGGCCAGGGCAGGAGGAAAGAAGGAGAGACTGTAGGAACAATCACTACCACCATCAGAAAAAGGCGGTTTCCAGAGAAAGAGAGGGGAGGGACCGGAGAGACCATGTGATCCAGATGGAAGAGGGGCCCAGGGTCTTCCCTCCAGCCCGAGGGCTGAGGCACATGTGGCACTGAGTGAAATCTGCCACCAAGGAGCTGTGCCGTGGAGCATGGAGGCTGTGGGTCTCAGGAATGTGAGCTGATATTTGCTCCCCACGGGACTGGAAATCCCGATCGGAATGTACATCCTAAATCCCTTGTTAGAGAATGTGAAACCCACAGATACTTTCAAGCCAGACATTGAAACCTCTTTCTCCTCCATGCCCTTTGCCAGAGGCACCAGCCTGGAGGATGCACCCATTTGAGCTCCCTGTGCCCTCCTTGCTCCTGCCGAGTAGCAATAAATAGCCAAACAAAGGGAGCAGAAGCTAAATAAGGGAGCAGGATAAAAGCCAAATGAACAGAATAATGCATGTGCTGGATCATCAGCTCCTGCAGAGACAGGCGCTCACTGTGCCTTTCTGTCCCCCGCGATTGATCTGCAAAGCAAAACCGTTTTGCTGATGTCATTTCCCTTTTTCTTCTATCACCCTCTGAATTATGTGTCCCCTTCAGGAAAGTTTTCTGTTTTGAGGTTCCCCAAAGCCCCATCCATCCCATCTAAGAAGAGTAAAAGGCTTGAAGTATGAATCAGACTTCCTGGGAATCACGGTACTTCACACACACACACACACACACACACACACACACACACACACACACACACACACACACGACACCTTGGTATGAAAGAAGAGGTTTAGTGGGAAAGAATGACCTCCGCCGGGACAGGGTTCCCGTGGAGCGCTAAGCTGAGATTCCGATTCCCCAGGCAGGCAGCGTGTCTCGCCAGGCGCCACCTCCTGGCTCGTCTATGAATTTTTAAATTTTAATTTAAAATGTTTTGTGTATGATTCCTTATGGGAAGTGTTTCACTGCTGGTGAGCTTTGGGATTTTGCCTGCACCACTACAACTGCACATTGTGTCACAAAGATATCTTAGCCCGGAGTCAACACTTCCCTGACTTGGGTGAGCAGCGCGTCCAGGTGCTTGTGCTTCCCCAGACGACAAAGGCCCTCCTTTCCAGGACAGAGGGAGCCAGGAGGCGAGCGCCATCCTCCGCGCGCTTCACTGTATCTTGAGCTTCGGCTCTACTGTGGATATTTCTGTCGTTGCTTTCTAGCTGTGCTGATTTGGAGCAGGTGTCAAGAGGACCCTTATGCGTAAGTTTTGTTTCTTTGCTTGTTTTAAAGTGACGCCGCTCCCTCTCCCCACTCGGTGTTAGTTTCCACTCAACTTTGGCACCTTTGTTTAAGTCTGACCTCTCTCTCAAGCTCTACCTCTCTCGCATTGGCTTAAACCCAAACTGAGCATCCCACTGCCTTCTGGCGCCATCTCCTGTACTTGTAGATGTACTGAAACGTGACTGAGGTCAGGCACTTTGGGAGGCCAAGGCAGGTGGGTCACTTGAGGCCAGGAGTTCCAGACCAGCCTCGCCAACATACCAAAACCCCATGTCTACTAAAAATACCAAAACTTAGCCAGGCGTGATGGCGCGTGCCTGTAATCTCAGCTACACAAGAGGCTGAGGCAGGAGA